CTAAAAAAAAAAAAAAATAGCTAGTTCTGATTTAAGGTGCGTCACATTTACTGCCATTCAGCTCATTTTCGTGAGTGAAATAAGCAATATTGAGTTTCAGTACTTGTCTAATAAAATAGCTAGTTCTGATTTAAAGTGCGTCACATTTTCTGTTGTTTGACATATTTTTGCGAGTGAAATAAGTAATACTAAGTTTCGGTACTTGCCGAAGAAAAGCTAGTTCTGACTAAAGGTTCAGTCATATTTACTGTTGTTTGGCGAATTTTCACAAACGAAATAAACAATACTGAATTTCAGTACTTAAAATATAGCTACTTCTGACTTAAAGGCGCAATATGTAATTTTCGCGTTTTCAAAATAACCAAATAGACAAAGGCGTAGTTGCTACTCTGTGCGGTCGTCACCGGTCTAATAAAACGCACAACATATTAAAGCGTCTTTGGTGTTTCCATGTTTTCTACAAAACAAAACCGGAAATCGAGGGGTTACGACACAATGACACGGTCCGTGTCACTAGTTAAAATTGCTTATTTCTCTGGATTTAAACATTCTTCGAAACATTTGGGATATTGTAAGTACACAAGTCAGCAAAATATATAACACTGTTCTAGTGGTTTTTGGATATTTTAATAAAAAAATCTTACATATTGTGCCTTCAAGGTGCGTCACATTAGCTAGTTTGGCGAATTTTCGCAAAATAAGCAATACTGGGTTTCTATACTTTTCCAATAATTAGCTAGTTGTGACCTAAGATGCAGTTACACTTACTGTTCTTCAACAAATTTTCACGAGCGAAATAAGCAATACTGATTTTCGGAACTTGATGAAAAAATAGCTGGTTCTGACTTCAGGTGAGTCACAGTTACCGCTGTTTGACACATTTTCGAGAGCAAAATAAACAATACTGAGTTTCTATACTTTTCGAATAATTAGCTAGTTCTGCCCATAGATACGGTCATACTTGTTGTTCAACTAATTTTTGTGAACAAAATAAGCAATAAAAAACTTTTGCACAAATTTCAGTAATGTGACCACACATTTGATAAAGCTGTTTTTTTCGTCTACAAAGAAGCAATTTTTGTAAACGTGTTACCTCTGCTTTGATGAGTTTTGCTCTTGAAGTCGTATTCGTCTTGCTGGTCTTCTAGATTTTTGATAATCTGCTCTGTGTCCTGATAGGAAATTTGAAAAAGATGTTTTACACAACTTTTCTATGAGAATTCGACATATCTTATAGTTGCGATAGTTTTTGTGTACATCACCTGTACTTTCATCTTTATCTCTTTCACCCTTCCATCCATTTCTCGATGTTTCTCCACGATCATATCGTTTTGGGTGTTTTCGGTTCGATTCTGCAACGAAATACTAATTACTAACCTAATGTCATTATGTGGAAAAGAGCAGCTTGGACAATATTGTGAACTACCTCCTTTTGTGTTTTACAGATTAAAGAAAGTCGTGTGAATTTGGAACAACATGACGATGAGTTGTTTTTGCTTGACCTATTCCTTTAGTCATGGAACGAACTGAAAAGATGGTTTAAATAAAGATTTAAATGTCATATTTAAATTCACAGTTTGGTGTTGGAAATCAGTGGTTGTCGTTTATTAATTCCTGACCTCTGACACTTGGGCAGCGGCCAGAATCTTCCTTTCCTCGCTAAGGTTCCTACTGATGATCATCGCCATGGAAACAGGATTGTCTTGGAAGAGGCTCTGAAACACAAGGGTTGTGTTAACTCACAAACTCAATCGTTTGCATGTTGCAACTTGTTTTTTTCGGACCTATTTATTGCCTAATGATTTAGAGGCTGCGACACAAATGCTAAAAGGAAATGATTGTGTAGCCAGTTGCAGACAGGCACCTGCAAGTTCCTCTTGATCTTGCGGATGTTGTGCTGGTTCAGGAAGTCTTTCTCCATCGCGAAGCGGCTGTGTTGGTGATCCAACTGGGTCAAAAGATCATGAAACCTCACGGTGGCCAAAGACTCATTCTCCACATTAGCGACATGGTCCCTTTAAGGGAACGAAGAACAGATGATTCACACCAAATGAAGATGAAACTGGATTGAATTCTATTTTTAACATAATTCCTATATTTGTGCCTATATAATCCCTCTTTTATCAGGAAGATAAATTTAATAAGAAAATGAATATTTAAAGTGGCGTATCTAAAAGTGCACTAACTAATTGTTTATGTTGCACTGATTCTTGTTTCTCTTATTAAACAACTAATATTGCAGAATTTGTCTCTCTGTTGCCCTCACTAGGTCTGGACGACCAATGATGCCGTTTATATGATGTTACCGCAGGTTTATCGTGTGCAGAACATAACAATTTGCCATTTTTCTGGAAAATTTCACACTTTGAAGTAAGTTCATCTGAAGTTTGTGTTTATTAACATCATGTGATCTCAACATGAAGCCCTTATGTACCATAAACTGTACTTTTGCTTTTTTGGTAAAGAGCAGATGTCTTAACCTGTAAAAATAAAAATATTAATTAAAATAATAATAATAATTAATATTAATATTTTGATTACCTTTAAAAATATGTATGCACATTAAAAAAGTAATTAGTCATATTTTCATGTTTTAATATTTAAATTGTAATTACCTTTAATCATATTTTTGCACATTTAAAATATTAATTACATTTTTCATATTTTAATGACAATATTTTAATCTATATTAACATTAGCAATATTAATTAGTGTTAAAGTTAATTAAATAAAATTAATATAAATATTTTGATTACCTTTAAAAATATGTATGCACATTAAAAAAGTAATTATTCATATTTTCATGTTTTAATATTAAAATTGTAATTACCTTTAATCATATTTTTGCACATTTCAAATATTAATTATTTTTTTCATATTTTAATGACAATATTTTAATTTATATTAACATTAGTAATATTAAAGTGTTAATTAAATAATATTAATAAATTGAATTAATAACTTTATTAACCTTTAAAAATATTTATGCACCTTAAAAAGTATTCATTATTATTTTAATTTTTAAATATTTTATGTTAATATTAATATTCTAATTACATTTAAAAATGAGTATGCAAATTAAAAGTATTAATATTCTCATTTTAATTAGTTTTTGATTAATATAATATTAAAGTATTAAAATTAATTAAAATATTAATAACATCAATTACCTTTATAAGATATGCACCTTAAAAAGTATTCATTAATATTTTAATGTTTAAATATTACCATTTTAATTGATATGTTAATATTAATATTCTGATTACCCTTAAAATATTAATGCACATTTTAAAATTTCTTACAATTTTCATATTTTTATAATACATTAATAATTTCGATTAATATTACATTTTGAACTTTATAATAAATACTGTTAAGAATCAACAGGTTGCCTAGTTTAGCATTATTATACTTGCAAGAGGTTGTGGTTATGTGTTTGACATGGTTGTAAAGGTACACAATCGGTCGTACGCACCAGTCATGGCTTTCTATCCAGCTGCTGAGGTACTGCCGGATGGCCATTGGAAAGCTGTCATCATACAGTTGGTCGACCTGTTCCAAAAACTTTGAATCCAGTTGTTGAAGCTCCAACCACTGACTCATTTCTGCGACTCTGTGGGCTGAGAGTTATAATACATGACAAAATATGGTTGTTAGCAGACAGGCCACAGTGAAGACTTTTTTTTTTTTTTTTTACAGAAATCACAGTAAAAGCAGAAACAGCAGACCTCAACAGATGAGATAATGAGATTTATATCTCAATTTATGGCCATGGAGTTTTTTTTGTGTGGTGTGTGTTTCTAATCATGCAGCTACTGACAAATTTTAATTTGCATGAAAAGCTCATTTTGTGTAAAACTGCTAATTAACTGTTAAGTATCATTATTACTATTATTATTATTATTTTCAAAAATGCATTGTTTTCTTGTAGTGAATGTGGGTGTTTTGTGCTTTAAGAAAATGAGATATTTAAAAAATATATATTTTTTAATATTATATGATTGTTAGGAATAGTGTTGTCACGGTACCAAAATTTCAGTATTCGGTGCCAATACCAGGACCGGGTACTCGGTACCACCGGTACTTAAAAAAACCTGGTACCGTAACGTTTTCATTTTTTTAGTACCGACTTGGTACCGAAATACTGGGTCTTTTGACAACACTAGTTAGGAAAATGTTTTCATAGTTTTAAGCATAATTACCACTAAGACAATAAGAGTAACAGAATTTTGAATATGTATGCTAATTTACATTTAAACAGAATGCTTTATTATGGTACGATTATTTTATGTATAACATTAAAGCAGAAACAAAGTATTACTGTCAGTGTAACTGAACATTAGTATTGTCAAAAAGATTGTACATAATATTTATATTATTATTAATGCTTAAAAACAATGTGCGTGTGCGCCGCACGTGTGTGTAGGGTAGGGTTTGGAGGTATTGTTTTTGTATAAATATATTTTAAGGCTTTATATGAGTACAATAGACGACTACAGTGTTTTCTCATTCAGACAGCTAAGCTAGGTAAACATGTGGGTGGGGTTTTTTAATGCTTTAAAATTGTTCTCAATTGGAATCAATCGATTAATCGATTAATCGATCAATAATAATAAAATAATATAGCTATATTGAATAATGTTATTATTATTAATCAATGAATAATAATAATAATATAGCTATATTGCACGATGTTATTATTAATATTATTATTAGATATAACAGAATTCATGACCACATGATATTGTTTTGCATGCATTCATAAGGCCCGCATGTAAACTGCAGAAGAGTTTACATATGGCCTAGTTATATAAAGGCCTTTTATGTGTTTTTCCATTGCGTTCTAAATAGTAAAAATCCTCTAATGACATGTGAAATCTTATGGTTATACAGTATGTATTATTTATATAACGCATTAACCAAACGTGAGAGCAAAACTTCCAGTAAAATTTTACGCAAAAAAAAAAAAAAAAAAAAAAAAAATGGGAAAAAGAAAGAAAAAATGTAAAAAACCAAAAAAAAGAAAAATT